CATCGTAGGTTTGATGTCAAACATGCATTTTCTAGGAAAACAATGGTTTTTTGATCTTGCATGATTTCTGTATGAAAAAGATTTTTCCTTATAAACTTTTGTGGAGGTCAGTCTTCAATGTATGGGGTTTACCATAGTTACTTAATTTCTACCATGATATGGATTTTCTCCAATAATAACTATAGATTTGACCATTTTTGTCTTGCAGGTTCCTGCAGAAGAATCAGAGTGCCTTCTTTCTCCCTACTTACCAGATGCCGGAAGGTTTTTTACAAGCAAGTCGAGAACAAGATGACAAAGCTGGAATGCATTCTGGAAACGCCGTGTAGATACGTATTACAATGAAGCTGCAGGCATGTTTTAGGTAAAAATTTTGGGACCGTTTACATTTATCTCATACATACGCTTCCAATTTGCAAGAAGTACTTCTATTGCACGTTCTATTTAACCGTTTTTATCATCTTGTAAATAAATAATACTCGTACCAGTTGCAAAGAAAACAAGAGTTGATGTCTATCGCCTACTTAGCACACGCCTTGTTCTTGATTTTTATTATGGCTCTTTACTTAGTGACTTACAAAATTCTAGCAGTAACTGGGTGTCTGTTTATCAATTGAGTTTGCGAGGCACCCCCATTTTCAACGCTATACACCGCTCTAGTTAGTAACACAGGATTCATCTTGATTTGGTTGTAGCCACTATACCCATCCATGAATGAGAACATCTATGGGAGTGCCACTTTTTGTTGTTTCTTCTTCATTTGGTCATATCTTCAGTATCTCCGTCCTTCTAACGCCCGATAGACAAAGTAAGGGTTCATCTTGTTCTATGGGAACTACTTTGGATGAAGGCCACAACCAAGACCAACCACACCGAAACAAATGCTATCTATGCATACCAAAAGCTTTACTAAAAGCATTTTTACCATGAGTTTGGAGGTTTTTTGTGCAACAATTCATCGGAACCCATTGTTTTCCAACACCATTCGATTCTAACTATTTGGCGCCATTGCAGCTATCCAACAACTGAATGTTACGTAGCTTCGCGTGACCAATAGGTACCCTTCTTCCTCACCAAAAGCACAAAACTTGACTACTGATGTCAATGGCAACAGTTGAGCATACAATCTACCGATGAAAACGTTAGATTTACTTTTGTTTGTGTTTTTAGACAATGTTTTTGTCTTATTTTCCCTAGAAATGCAGATTTATTAAAACCCAGAAGCACAGTTCATGAAAAAGAAACGATACCTCACTGGTTTCATCCTTTTTTTCTAACATTTTCTATTCAGACAGGAAATTGTTTCTCATAACCCCTTCTCTCTCTCTCTCTCTCTCTCTCTCATCTGTACATTAGGCAAAATTATTTCTGTATAAAAGCAGCAAGATGGAAATACTACGAAAAACGAAGGTCCTTTTTTTTTTCTCCCCCCTCCCCCCTCCCCCCATCTCTTTCCTAATTCTTCGCAGTTGACTCATTCAGGTCTGTTGGGATTTTCATAACTTCATCACTAGTCGATCTTACTAATGCCAATACGCTTCACCACCGCATTCCTAATGGCTTCAGTCTGCATACAAATCCCATTCTGTTCAATCCCAGACATGTAGCTCCTCACTTCTTTCCTGATCATCTCTTGCATAACATCCAAGAATTCTGGGCTAAAGAACTGTTTTTCACCTGCTTGTGGTGGCGGCGGCGGAGGAACACCAATTGACCCAAAGTCATAGTTTGGACTGCTGTGAGACGGTGGTGGAGGCGGAGGAGGTGGTGGTGGTGGTGGAGCCACCTGGGCAACCGATTCAGGTTGTGGCTCTGGGTTATTTTGCATCACCTGAGTCGGGTGAGTTATAAAATTAGATCCGAATATTTTGTTAGATCCCTCAGACGAAACGGATCCGGGCAAGGACAGACTCAGAGACGTAGTCGGGTCGGATCCCGATGACGCTGTTTCCACCGGCTGAACAGGTGGAGTATTTACGCCGCCGGTTCTGGCAACAGGTCTATACACATGCGGTGAAGGAAGACCCGAAAGACTCGAATCGCTCAATTCGGATCCTGATGGGCTACTCGGGTTGATATACAAACCGGAAATTATCGTACCCGACCCAACACTCGCAGATCTTTTCAAAGGCTGAACGTCGACGAAAACCGAGTCATCGGACATGGAAGAGCACTTCCGCTTGAGAGTGGAGTTCCAATGGTTCTTGATAGCGTTATCAGTCCGACCCGCGAGCAATCGGGCTATGGTGGCCCACTTGTTGCCGAACTTCGCGTGGGCCCGTATGATCATCTCGTCTTCTTCTTGTGTAAACGCTCTGTGTTCCACCTGCGGCGAGAGCTGGTTGCACCATCGGAGCCTGCACGACTTCCCGGATCGACCCGGAATCGATTTGCTGATCAGAGACCAATTTCTCGGGCCATGCTTTTGCACCAGCCTCTGCAACAGTTCATCTTCCTCCGGACTCCATGGACCCTTGATCCGATCCGTATCTCTCCTCTCTGCCATCGTCGCCATCTTTTCAAAACCCTAAATTCAAACCCACAAAACGGAAAAAAATAAGAAAATAAATTATAACTGTCTGATTATCTTTGGGTGATGTGAAGTCGATATGACAGAGAGGCTGAGCCTCACCTTGGTCTGAGACGGTAGGGTCTGGAGTGAGGGGTTTATATATGGGGGAGGGCTGGAGAAGAAGATAGGGATGACCGGCTGAGCCGGTAGGGGTGACCAGTTTTTGGAGTGGAGGGCAGTTACTAATATACAGCTGGCTAGGGACACGCGTCAGATTGTGAGGTGCTGATCGAACAGTATGCTCTACAGCTGGCTCAGTCAAAGTTCATCACACTACTCCTAACCGTACATTTCAAAAAATTTCTCACCGTCTTAACTTCTAAAACGGTCAGTGATTTGAATTTAAATTTCCAAACTTATATATTTTTTAAATACCCGATAGTTTAGATGTGTGATGAATCTGTAGATAAATTACTTTCCATCCTTAAATTATGATCTATATATATATATTATTATATCTCAACACTTCAAAAGCCCATCCCGTGAAATTTGATTATGTATCAGATTTGTCGGCAATTGGAGCAATATGGATTTGTTAAATATAACTAGAAGTGTGATACGGAAACAAAAAAGATGAGGGAATATTTGGAGATAGTGACATTGTTGAGGGGAAGAAAGAGTAATATATATTCTATTTTTTCAAATGAGAAAGAAAGCAACAAAGGAATATATGGCAGTGAGCTGGTGCTAGACGACAAAAGTGGAAGCTGAATCCGGGAACGAACGGTACTACTAGTCTGACGAGTCCAGGCTGTAAAACCTGCCCCATTCTAACGGCTTTCGTATCGACGTACACGTGCCGGTCATACGAATAGACACATAGGCTGATAGGCCCCCTCTCTCTCTTCCAAATTCCAAGAAATTGCATGCAAGCAAGCGAGCAAGCCACCCTTGATTGTTATACTAAATAATAATAAAAATTAAAAGAAATTGATGGGCTTCTTTTCAATTTAAGAAGACAAATATAGCATTGTACCAAAAATTAATTTTAATTAAATAAATTTGAGTAATATCCAATGACATTGACAGGTCTAGGCAAATAGAAGAAAAAATTGTGTTGAGCGGGACCCACAGCAGCCACGTAGAAACATAGGTGGACTACTACTACTACTAAACGTCCGACAGTTCTTATAGCTCCCACTGTAAAGCCACGTAAGAAGATTGTTTGGCAATGACGTGGGACAAAAACTTTAACCGGCCTAACTGCAACTTTTGAATTATATGTTAGGCCACGTCACTGTTCGCCAGCTATAGCGCACTTCTTTCACGGGTCCCAATAAAAAAAATACTATATCCAGTGATACCGCGTCACCTTCTTTGCATAGTATTATTATCTAATTAAAATAATATAAGTCAAAAAAGTAAACTCTACTATTTTTATTTTTATGATTATGAATAACTATCACATTCGATTATCAAAATATTAGATTAATAAGATCTATTTTACTTATTTGTGGTATTCTAATTGGATTAGTGACACTATGTAAAAGTAATAAGGTGGTGTCATATTTACAATGAATATTTTCTTATGCTCTAAATGTTGAAGAATAAAAAATTTTAATAAATCAAGATTCATTTTTATATTATCTTAAAAATATTTTTTTAAAAGGTTGTTACAATTTTTAATGTTCAAATCCCATCTTTGTGAGTGTTTATAATTGATTTTAACAATTAATTGTTGTGATTGATTCTATACTTATAAGATGGATAGTAAAAATATATATATAAATGATTTCAAAAAATTATTAAAAAAAAAATTAGAACTTGGTTATTCAAAAAATAACCATAGGTATTATTTTTTATTATAAACTTTAATTTTAGTTATTTGTGAATCAACAATCACAAAATTAATGGGAAAAATCCTTAATAAATGTTACATTCTAATCGGACCAAAACAAGACACAATTGTAAAAATTAAATTTTCAAATCCATAGCACTATTTTGATAATAAAAAGTATGCAAAAAGAGTAAACAAAGAGATAAAATAAGGGGTTAATAACACTTTTAGTCCTTAAAATATGTATTTTTTGTCAATTTAGTCCTTATTTTATCAATTTTTTCAATTTAATTTCTAAAACATTCAATTCGTGTTATTTAAAGTACTCAACTCCCATTTGATAGTTGAATGAGAACTGCAAAGAATTTCAATCAAGGGGATATTCTAGTGGAGACAAAAAAAAATGAGCTATAAAATCAGATATCTCAATTTCTAAACTTAAAAATTCTCTTAGGAATAGACAATGAGGGATACTCTACCTTTAATCAAGCATGGATGAGCCTTTGATTAGATTGAGAATTAGAATAATCAAAATGCACATAAATTGGTCCGAAAAAATATAGTGGTAATGCAAAGTTGGCATGTCAATAAACTGGATTTTAATTCAAATCCGAATCTAAATCCATTTAATCAGATGTGGATTAAAATTTTAATCCCGATTATCCGAATTCAAATCTACTTGGACTTATTTAAAANTAATCAGATGTGGATTAAAATTTTAATCCTGATTATCCGAATTCAAATCTACTTAGACTTATTTAAAAGAATTTAGATTTTAGACATATAATAATTCGATTCGTTAAAAATTCGATCCGACTTAATATATATTCATATATATATATTATACATATTATATATTATAAGCTAAGTAAAAAATCTTATCCCTAATCCACTACTTAAAATATTTGGATTGAGCCATTGATTAACAAAATTAAGTAAAAATTCATCCATTAAGTTGAAATTGTTGGTTAATTGATAAATTTTGTTAAAATTCAACTTATTCGGATCATACCAAATTATTTGGTCAGATGTCTGATTTTTAATAGATCCGAATATGGACTGAAAATATTGATATCCATCAAAATATTAAATTGCATTTAAAATTAAAATTTTTAGTTGAATTTCCATCCGTTGGTTTGGTAGGCCTACTGCGAAGGAAAGAGGCAGAGGCATGAATGTCGTGGTTCTCGTGGTTTTATTTTTTTCCTTTCCAATGTTAAAAGTATTATGGGTAAAAGTCCCATTGGATTGAACAGCAAACCATTAAAATAACTAGAGAAACGGCTAAAAGATTACATAAGAATCTGCCGTTGGAGCGCTACAAGTCTTTCTTTTTCTCCCTCCAAGCGCGTAGTCATTTTGTACCCACTTGTTCATTTCTTATTAATCTTTTTAAAATTTCTACTTACCCANTCCAAGCGCGTAGTCATTTTGTACCCACTTGTTCATTTCTTATTAATCTTTTTAAAATTTCTACTTACCCAAAAAAAAAACATTTTTATAATCTTTGTTTAGTCACTAAGATACAATTCCACAAGTTGGTTACAGCTGTTAAAAAGTGCAAGTTGGTTTTTTTTTTTTTTTTTCTTATTATGATACATTAGATAACTTAAGTGAATGAATCACGTCACGTAAATTGAATTTTTTAATGAGGCCAATTTTGACGTAGCTGAATTGTTTAATTGTGATTTCGACATTATTAGTTTTTGGTTGTAAAATAATACACGTGTAATTGATCTTTCTCAAATCATGTAATGACAATTTCAATTGGTAGTTTTAATAATAACATGGACGAGCTGTAAGTTCAGACGTCATGAATTCAAATTTTGGCAATCTATTAAGATTTGATTTTGAGAGATTTAATCCTCATGAAATATCCTAATGCCGACATAAATAACTTGTCTCATATAATTTATCACATAATGTTATGATTTAATAATAAATTTATAATTGANCAATTTTGACGTAGCTGAATTGTTTAATTGTGATTTCGACATTATTAGTTTTGGTTGTAAAATAATACACGTGTAATTGATCTTCCTCAAATAATGTAATGACAATCTCAATTGGTAGTTTTAATAGTAACAGGAACGAGCTGTAAATTCAGACGTCATGAATTCAAATTTTGGCAATCTATTAAGATCTGATTTTGAGAGATTTAATCGTCATGAAATATCCTAATGCCGACATAAATAACCTGTCTCATATAATTTATCACGTAATGTTATGATTTAATAATAAATTTATAATTGAGTAAGATAAATCCCACTTATAGTTGTTTTCATACATGAATAAGATAATTACTAAATTAAGTAGGGCTCACTTGTAAATATATTAATTTTTTATTAAATAATGACATTACAAGATAATAATAATAATAAAGTGGTGTCACTGTTACAAAGTAATTTAAGAAAATAGGACCTTAAATGTGGTCCACTAGAGCTCTATGATGCTTTTGAATATTATTGACTTTAAACCTCACATTTGTCACGAGGGTAAATAAAGGGAATGATTTTTTTTTTTTTTTTAAGTTATTGACTCTTTCTCTTTCTATTTCTAGAAAGAGAAAAAGAAAGATAAAGAGAGAGAATATACCTGGAGTGAGAGGGCTACTTTACTGGGTTGCCAAAGCTGTGTCAAACCCACCAAGTGAGTTCATGGGCATTGTCAGTATCAGATTATATGGTATCTGCTGCCGATTAATGAAAGATATATTCATTTCCCTTTCTTTTTCTTTTTTTTTTTTTNGGAGTGAGAGGGCTACTTTACTGGGTTGCCAAAGCTGTGTCAAACCCACCAAGTGAGTTCATGNAGTGAGAGGGCTACTTTACTGGGTTGCCAAAGCTGTGTCAAACCCACCAAGTGAGTTGATGGGCATTGTCAGTATCAGATTATATGTTATATGCTGCCGATTAATGAAAGATATATTCATTTCCCTTTCTTTTCTTTTTTTTATATTAAAAAAGTGTCTATAGATACAAAATTATTGTTAATTGACTAATAAAATTGTAGTTGGTTGATAGTTTAAGTATGGTAGTCGTGTGATTAGTCTAAGCTGAACAAACCGATACCCAAAACTCCCAATAAGAGTAAAATGGAATCCTCTCCTTGGACAAAATAAATTTTGTAGTCGAGTAAATAGAATCTCCCACCTCTGCGATGGGTTGGGCCGGCTCAGCCCAGCCCAGACAATAATTTTTTAACTCATGGCTTGCTTGTGGGTTGGGCCTCTAAGCTTTGACTAGTCAACTAGTCGGGCTTGGCCCATCGTTAGGAATTTTTAAGGCCCATGGGCCAAGTTATTGGGGCAAAATACAGGTCAAGTCTTATGGGCCATCCATTGGGCCTGAAACTGATTTTTTATCAAAAAAAAATATAAAAAGACATAAAAAAATTTATTTTTTATGTAAAAATTACAAAAAGACAGCAATTACATGAAGTTAGTATAAAAAAATAAATTAATAAAAAAATTATTCATATTGGTTGAATTTAACAAATGTTCATAAAGAAAAATTTAATGTTACATTACAAAATTGATTGATGGATGAGATTATTTTGTATAACTACAAATTGAGTACATCCCAACTAGGTTAAAACATACAATTGTCAATCATTTGCAAGTCTCAACATTATAAAAGTTACATA